TTTTGTCAATACCACCTAATGACAAAATCCGCAATCACTTAGTTACCAACCCAATAATATTTCCGTTATGCCTGTAAAGCGCGTAAATCGATATATATATATATATAATCGAACTGAAATTATGCATGTGTATATATATATACACATATATATATATATATATACATATATATATATATATATATGTATATATATTGTATTTGCGCGTACCGTGATTTTCCAATAAAGCGTTTTGTTACAAAAATCCGGAATCCAGAAAGAAAATCACTCGTCATTTATTTGCAAACGTTTGTAGAGAATCTATCTACTATCTCGATATATCCCATTACAATTTATTACTAAACATCGGTACAAATCTCGTCTATTGAAAAGGATGAAATCGGAAGCTCGATAGTTTCACGAAGAGAACGACGTCAGATATAGGAAGTTGTTCACGATGGATCCCGTAGAATTTTATGGGAAACTCCAGGAGGATCAAGCGATACTAAACGACGATCCCTGCTCGCGAATGTTTTACGTATTCACGATTGGTGGTGAAAGAAAGAGCGTATCGCCTTCAGAACGTTTATTATTTCCCCGTCTGTCTGCTATTTCTACAGAGCGAATCTATTGAAAGTAAATGTTGAATAAGAATCAACAGTATTACATCGGGTCTGTCGTGATTCCGATATTTCTCTCTCTCTCTCTCTCTCTCTCTCTCTCTCTCTCTCTCTCTCTCTCTCTCTCTCTCTCTCTCTCTCTCTCTCTCTCTCTCTCTCTCTCTCTCTCTCTCTCTCTCTCTCTCTCTCTCTCTCTCTCTCTCTCTCTCTCTCTCTCTCTCTCTCTCTCTCTCTCTCTCTCTCTCTCTCTCTCTCTCTCTCTCTCTCTCGATCCCGTGAGACGCGAATCGATGTCTAAGAACCGGCAAAAGGGTATTTGAGAGAAGAAGAGAACGATTGGATGCGCGATTGGAAGGATCTCTCGATTGGCAAGCTGCTCTTTTATATCACGATACGAGCAACTTGATATTTAATGGAAGAATGTCGAGTCTATTCGATTACAAGTATTTTTCAAGCTTATTAAATATGCAAAGAGGGATTAGCGAGAATCGAATGGATCTTCTTGGGTTTCTTGTGCGGGAAGGACCTACTTCTACATTTACGTTACGGTAATAAATACATTTACATTAATCTTCGTGATCTGTGATTATTCGAGTCGCTGGTTATTTTTACAATTATACAATATTTTTAATACACCGATACGGACGAATACAAATGAACGAATAAGAAGGAATCGACAAGGATTAGTTGTGGTTTGACTAGATCCTCCGAATCTTTAAATGTAAGGACGTATCGGAGAAATGATATTACGATACGAAAAATCTAATATTCAATGGAAAAATATTAACGTCACCGAATCGCTAGCTTTTAAGATTATTAAATATGTCTGCAAAATTTAAATAAATTTATACACGGGTAAGGTTTGGTAAGGGATGGCTTAGATTTGGTTAAATCCTTTGTTGGTCGTATTCTGCATATTTTATAGAAAAGTATCGAAGCTGTTCGATCCAGATAATTTTTAACCTCGTGAAATGTTCAAACAAGGTTTGCTACGTAAAAGCTGATCTATGATTGGATTTGTGTATTAACTCTTAAACTGAAAAGTAATCTTGAAAGTTAAATTTTTATGAAAAAGTACTAGAACTGTTCAAATACAGATAATTTTGAAACTCGAAAGAAAAAAGATTAGGTTGTATTAAACCACTTGAAATAGACGTATAAAAAGAGATCACAGTTGGTTGAAAATTAAGTAGGTCTTCCTCAAAGTGGCAGGAAATTTCGTAAAACGTTATTTGGGGAATAAAGTGTCAGTAACGCTAGAGGCACATCGAATTTTTATGAAGTGGAATTTTATGGATACTAAAGATTCCTCATTATGGTAAAGTGTGATTCAATTACGTCTGGTTTACGGTCCATCCTCCAATCACGACTCTACATCTGATTAGATTCATCGAGCACTTATCATAATTGTAGAAACTATAGAAACTCCTTAAGACGTACAGAAATTTTACATCT